TAATAAAAATTAAAAATTGAGGTTATTACATTATATCATGGGTAACGAACAGCACTTGAATTGATTGCAATATAATCTACATCTATCTGTTTTGAATCATGTTTGACTCTCTAGCTTTATTATTCTCAATATACATAGCAGTAGCCAACCTAGCTACTCCACTACAACTATCACTTTTAACAATTCATTTCACAATATGGGACTCAAATTCATTGTAAATATATGCATATATCACATACGTCGACTCGTGATTCTCCCATTTATACGTAATTATTTAGACCCGGAAAGCTAAATCGGAACTTGTTAACACATGTATCAGTAACACATTAATTGTAAATGTAAAATGAATGCAAGGTTCAATGCATGCAATGAAACTAACCACACAAGCACGATCACCGCAACGTTATCGAGAGGAGTCGGAAGTTGAAGAGTCTCATTTAGACGGAGCGCATCAATCAGCAAATGGGGCCGTGGGCGGTAAACGCGCAAGCGATGCGGAGGCGGGGGAGGGGCCGTGGCCTCGCCCAGGCATGCACGCGGGGGCGAGGCGACTGCGACCTAAAGGCGGCTCCACTCATTCGGCATTCGCCGAGCAGCCAGCTACCGCTCACCCAATCTCGAACAGCTGATGGATGTGTTCGGCGAATGATCGCTTCTTTTGATGTGTCCAAACCATTAACACGCAGGGGGTAGGTCGAGCACCGTCACTCGGCAAATAGCAAGCAACTCATCCACATTTCAAAACTTGGGTTTCGGCGAGCGGTTGCTCGCTACTCGCCGAATTACGCATATGTGGAGCCACCTTAAAGCCGATAGAGCTGCACGGTACGCCAAAGTGTGTACGCTCTGGAATACTGATTGTTTCATGTTTCCGGGCACGTCAACTGTCAAGGTCATTAGTCACTTTAGTGTAATGAATGATTTACTCCGGAAGGTGGTGGCGTTCCTCCCCGTTGAAACGTCACTTCCGGCGTAGACCTACACACCTGCGTGGAGTTTTTCATCTAAGTACATCCCTCAGAAGAGCAACGCCCCAAGCAACGGGTCAAGCTCTACGCCCCGTCAGGTCTGCCGACATCTGTGGTAGTGTAGTACATGGAAGCGTTAATCGTATGTGAAAGGGGCGAGGATAAGACAAGGAAGAGGAAGAAAGGATCGCGCGCGGTCCGTGACCCGTTTGTTAAGGTACTGCTCCGGCATTCTCCTGGTGTTGATCGGAGAAACCACAGAACACTACCGATCAGAGCAGCCGACCGCGAGATTCCTCCTCCAGACAGCAGTTGAATTCGACCTTGCTAAGTAGCTAGTGTCCAAAATTGGCTACCGTCGCAACGGCCACCCAACGCGACGGGTCTCGAGCCCAAGGGCTTCTCGGTGAGATTCGCTGCAGAGCACCAGCAATGCTGAATTTCAGCCAAACTTAGCAGGTGCGGAGTTCAGTGCCACTTTACTAGAGGTGTCGGAGGGGGGCTACTAGCTACATTGCTAGGCGGGTTTCCACCACTCGAGAAAACACTTATAGTGGCCGTCTGCTCTAATCGGTAGCTTTCCTTAGTTCCTGTGATCAATATGAGTGAAAGTCCAAAGCTGTACCCTACCTAGCGGGCCAAGGACCGCGCGGAATCTTCCTCCATGTAAGTCCCCTCCTCTCCCTTTGCTCACACACAGACACACAGTCATTCACATCACATGAAATGAGGAAATAAGGGAAAACTTTAAAGCACATTGGCTAGAACAGTGACACTTCTCAAAATAAGACAATTTTCCGATAATCTCAGCGTGAAATATCAAACTCGCAATTTATCTCCCATAAGACAATTTGTCCATTTTATTTTAGGATATTCCACATGCACTATGGATCAAGGTACACTAGAGGGATAATGACATAACATGGTTCCATGTTTTTAATGGAACCATTCACATTAATGAACGTGAACGTAAACATAAAAAGTAATCGTGAATGTTGGCAAGCTGCAAGCTTTCACGTTTACGTTAACGTGATCAGAGAACAAACAATACACTGTCATGTACCGCAACAAGATCCAGAAAACTTCTGTTTTTGGATGTCTGGAATGAATGCAGTTTGTACGAGCACAACTTGTTATTCATCGTCATTGCTCGTGAAACACATCACAGAACCATTTGTGGCCCACGTGATACGCGGAATATTTATCATCCAAGCATGATTTGGACCATTTTACGTAATGTCGTTCAATTATATATAGATTTTTTGTGCATAATGGGTGTATTTCCGTAATTACAAGTAAACGTACTTTATGTCTTTACTAAAACTTCAAATAATTTCAACCCTGCTGCAATAGATTTATTATTTCGCAATCAGACGGTGTTCGAGATCAGACGGTGGTAGGATTTTCAACACTAGCAACATTCCTCGGTCTAATTCAACCGCTCTCTGGAAAATTATTAAGGCCGGCTGCTCTAATCGGTAGTTTTCCGTGGTTTCTCCTATCAACACTTGTTGAATGCCGGATCAGACCCGTAACAAACGCGCCACGGACCGCGCGCAATCTTCCTTTTCTCTTCCTTGAAATGCTCGCCCCTTACACACACTTACACTGACGTGCACTATACAACTATAAATGTCGGGAAACAAGTTTGGAGCTTGTCACCGCTGGAGTGGTGCCCTGCTCGTGGGAGATACGTGACTGAGGAAACCCCGCAAGCCAACGTGTGGGTTGGCACAGTATCTCATCATCGAGTGAGGTAAGATTGCCATCACCTCCCGTTATAAAACATACACTACACTTACTGAACAATTGATATGAGTGAATAGTTGAAGCTCCCGGAAATACGAAATAATCAATCATTCGTCATTATGATTGGCACATTAAAAGTACAAACCACAAGAAGCTCCGCTGCGCGCGCGAGCACTGCCGAATAACCCATTACTGGCGCGTATGTGTCGTTATCTTTGTGGACCGCCCTTAAACCACAACAAGTAGCTCCGCTGTGCGCGCGTGCGCTGGTTTGGCCCAGTGGCGTCAGCAGGAGCGCCGCGCCGACGCTGGGCTATCGATTGCGGGACGGCTCCCGCTGAGCACCGCCAGAAGTCACGGCCCATGGGCGCGCGCAGTTGTCACTCGACCCTTCGCGCTCTTCTCTCACTAGTCACGAGTATTGAGCAAATGAGTTAGCTTTTAGAAGGAAAGGGAGCTCCCACAACGGAAAAGGAAGAGATGGTCTTCAAAAGTGAAGGGTGAGAGGCGGGGGTGGATTGAAAAATGAACGTTTTCATCATACTTGTGAAATAATTCATATATTATTATTATTAACTTGTAAAACTATTCTTCAATATGTACCTAAAGGAAAAAGAAGTGTAGGACGTCCCTTGAAGAGACGGCATGAACAATTCTGAGACGGAACAGACCAAGAGGTCTAATCCTTGCTGTCGATGATGATGATTATTAACTTCAAACTATAAGTTAGCACTACAAATAGTCAAAATTGTATATTCTGTTTTAATTTGAATAATGGAATTAAAGTATTTGAAAATTTGAACCCAATATGTAATTAGATTACTTTTACTTAACTTAGGAAGTGGAGAGTGAGGGTTCATTCATCTCAACTTATGTTACTAGTTGTCTCTGAAGGGGAAGGGTTTTAAAAAAGCAAGCCTCTAGGGCTCTCTTAGTATGTCGACCAGCTATTGACATGCGACCCAAATTTCCGATCAGTCCTTGCGGAAAGTTGTACCAGGAAAACGGTAGAAAAGAATGTACGGCTGACAGCTCTGTATTGATACAACACAGCTTAGAAAGATAAGAAGTTCACTGTTGATTGAGATGTTTTAGATATGCAAAAAGAACACAAAAAAGGTAAATTAATTAAACAACGACGCTGATTATTTGTTTGTTTGAATTGTTTGTTTTTAAATTTTATTTGATTTTGAATGTCAACTGAATTGTTTGATGTTTGAATTGTTTGTATTTTAAGCTTTGACAGAGCCGGAAGGTTTTAAAATGCAAAATTGCATATTTTTTACAGCACTTTTGTTTACAAATGTAAGGATTTATATCAAAGAAACATGTTAATTTGATTATTCAATTGTGTTCTAATGCCAATTTTATCTTACACTTCATTTTAGAGATAAAATGTCCTGTGAAGACTACAGCATTTTTTTACTTACACGTTATATCGAAATTTTTAATCAGATCGGCTCTCTTAAATAAAATATAGACTGCATTGATTCGTTCTAAACTCTGCAAGTAATTCTGTTGAACAGAATCCTTCAATAGTTTTATTCTAAAACTTATTGGTTATCGAGTTTATAAAAGAGTAGAGCACAGGTGTGAATGATTCAAGTTCTTTTTTGCGATTAATCACATGAACTACAATTATCTTTTGATGATTAGTAATTACTTTTTTAAATGTAAAAAAATTAATCTTTCATTTTACATTGAGAAAGCAACACCCGTTCACTGAACGACACTCTTGAATCTCAAAACTTTGGTCTTCCTTTGTGCTTCACACATTTTCTTTGACTATAACTACTTGTGATCTGAAGCGAACGTAATCTAGTCTGACCAAGAGTTGTGACCATTAACTGATCACTAAATTTTTGAGCAAGGATTGATGAATTCGTAAATTCAGGGTTGTTACAAAATATATTCACAGGTGTTATTAAATATTAAGTATAGTGCCAATTAGGACCACATTCAACTACATGTCGTATTACCACACACAACTAAACATTCGATTACATGTCGTATTATCAAAAAATACAAATAAACTGTTGCTAATCCAATATTGACATCTGCCGTTCCTTTCAGTCTAAAACTCGTAATTCTCATGGCAAATGGGGTCTGCAGCCGCCCTTGACAGTGCCCCATCCTACTTTTGGACGCCGCGCTGAGCCGCAGGCACGCCGCGCGCTCACACGCCAGCGGAAGTGTTGGCCCAGCGCCAAGGCGCTCGGGGGGAGACCCTCCGCCACGGCATGCCACGCCAGACACCACGGAACTCAATTTTTGTCATTTCAGGAGAAGCTTCGGTGCTGTTCCTCTTCGTTCGAGTGAAATTCGGATGGACTCCTTTCGACTACGGAGTTTACGCGTGTTTCAAGATGACCATTGTTCTCTTAGGTGAGTATTATTCAACCATGAGATTTGTTCTAAATGACACTGATTCAGATAGCACATATTGAAATGCCATTAGTGCCATTAGTGATTTCGCCATTAGATTAACGAGATATGACTGATATTTGACCGTAAAATTCTCGCCCGAACAGGGACTCGAACCCTGGACCCTCAGGTTAAAAGCCTGATGCTCTACCGACTGAGCTATCCGGGCCCTGCACGTAAACAACTTTGGTCGGGTGATTTAGTCGCCCTGTACGACAAATTACTTAATAAGATAAGTACATTGCGATTTTCGTAGGAATGCATACGAATTTAACCATTGTGATGTTGATGTTATTAAATTTTGGCCAAGAACGCTATGTAACACAAAATACGGACCCGAGAAGCGGTATCGTGCCGCTCATGACTGCGGGAGAAGTTATATGATGCTTGAATTGTACAATAAACTGATGTACAATGAACCCGGCCAGAGCAGCCAATTCTTTGAATAGGCAATCATAATTTATAACAATTATTAGTTACATAGCTATGATATCGCAACAGTGGTTTGAAATTGGGTTACTGGAAACACTCGTACGTAACTTTGAGGTAATAACTGTGATAAGTGATGGTTACGACTGCGAAGGTTGTTTCATCAATGTCTTGGAAAATACTGAGATACTTAAGAATAAATGAATTTCATTTTTATGCAATAAAGTAATATTTTGTGAATGTATCGTAAACACATTGTGTAAAAAGGAATTTGTGAATATATGTGAAAACAGGATTCGAAATTGAAAACGATTCAAAACTGTAGTACTTCAAATAAGTAAATGAGCACTGTTATGTAGAATAATCACGCGAGTCTGGTTAACGTAATTCACAAGTAAGGGAGATTGTCAGACACAGAAATGAGTAACAGCATGCATAAATTCTTGTACGTCACTTAAAGCGCACGTCAAATACAATTTTTTAATGTTTTAACAGTGTGCGTTGAGTTCCCCACGAATTGTCAAATTTAAAATCCTTGCTTGTGAGGAACAAATAAAACATTATCAATGTGCAAATGTGAAAATCATCTGCTTTTAAGGCAAATAGATTGTACGGAATAACCAGTGAGATCCTCATTGGTAGCTAGAATACATGGTGACTTCTGAATTTTGCTTAAAGCTTAGTATACTTAAAATTTTAAACACATGAATTTTATATTTTTTTTAAAATTTTGATTACCATTTCCATTATGGATCAATTGTACTTCGTCATTCAGGCAAACTTCTCGCTGTGACTTCACGCTTCTTCCCATCTCTTCCTAAGCCTCATAGAATCTCTTCCATCTTTGGGTTTACACTTCATTATGTAACAGTATATGTTTCATATGCCGTAGGCTACAGATTGCAACCACTTCTTATTGTTTTCATCTCTTTTTTCTAAGAATGAAAAAAAGTTCATTATTGTCTAATTGCGAATATGATCTAATCTGTAAAACCGTTTTTTGTTTACCTTTTCGGGCATAATCGGGCATTTCACGGTACAAATGATGATCACTATTAACGACGCTCGTTTTTAAAACATGTATTCATGGAGTAAGGCTAACATTATAAACAAATTGTGTAAACTACTATTACCAGTATTCCACAATTTAATTTCTGTTACTTTTTCATTACTTTCCAAAATTAAAATTTCCATTCATTATTTAGTGTCACATAACTTGTAGAATTCCAATAGTCTATGACATGCGACTCTCCGTATTTTATTTTTCAGTGTTCTGTGAACTGTACCATACATCTGAGTGTGTTCCCTCTAGTATTACTATTTCACAGGTTTAAGGAATTTAACGCATGTCATCTTGTTAGTTGTAATAATTTTCTGACTTTGTTAAAAACAGACACTCAAATATTTTTTTAACAATTTATTCATGGACTTTTCGATCCTAGTTGAGGGTCTTTTTCAAAAACCTTAGGTCCATATTTGTTAAAGCACATAATCAGACATCATTTTATAAAAAATTGTGAATGTTATAAAAAGCACTGTTCACGTATGTGAATTCCTAAACATGCGAGACCAACTCGTATCACCCAAGTCATTTTTTAGTGTAGTCGTTCAAGTTCGCGAACTCACATATATACACCAGGCGTTTTTAAAAAACGTCTTGTGTCATACTACTTGGCCAGATGTTTGCGAATTCACATGTATGACCAGTATTGTTATAATATTGCAAACGTTTTGTTCATGTCTATTTCTTCAGGACTTTAATTATCGTCTTCATCATTTTGAATAGTTGTCCTTTTCTGTAAAATCAGAGGTTTTTCGTATTTGAAGAGAGAAGAAAGAGAATTCTCTTCTCTTGATTATCCCAAAACATAACAGCTCAGAATTATGTCAATTATTTTCACGATTCATTTCGTTTTCAAATATTCTTACATTATCTAACGCATTGTTTGTTTCATTTTGTTTTCGTTTAGGAACTCTGGTGTCAATGGCGATCTTCTGTCACTGGCTTCAACTAGAAGACTCAAAAATCGGTGTAATAGCATGCAGTTTCCAAACAATCGCGTACTTAATGTATTCGTGTGTAAACGCGGGATGGGCCATGTACATTGGTAAGTTATTATTAAATTAAACGTCTAATAAGTATTATACGAATTTCTTTTGGAGCTTGGTTAGAAACACTAACACATTATGAATGACATCACATTAATTTGCGAATACGTATACTGGACATATTTGAATACACGTAAACAAATATTTAATGATAGATGCATTTGCAATAAAAATATCATTCATGGGAACATGTGTCAGTGTCTCAGTCCATGAATGATACGCCACGTAAAGTGTTCATTTAGGATATAATTTTTCCTAAGGCTTCACCCGAGGAGAGAGGGCCATGGACATGAATCTCAAGGAGGCCCTTGGATCTTACGGATGCCAATGAACCTCAAATGTACTCATGGAACTCAAGGGGTAAATGTAACCCAACGAATTCCATAATTTTATTACAATTTGAACATTTATTTAATTCATTTAATTTTTCACGTACAGTAGTCAAATACCCGCGACGCGACGTCATAAGAAAGCTGGGTCGCAAAATTAGGTTTGATTCACTTATCAATTTATAATGCTGTTATACAAAAAATAGTGTATGCAACTCATTTATAATGTTGTTTATTTCATTCATACAAATTTCAAAACTTGCTAGTAACGTCGCTCGTTTTCAAAACGTGTACTAATTCAATAAAGCTTAACATTATAAATTAATTGCACAAACTACAATTTGAAAATTAAAAGTCACGTGCGGGTCACATGTGAAATGTCACGTTCTGAGATGCAGGACACCGGGAAAGCGAACTAAGTGCCATCGTGAACAGACGAGAGCAATGGTCTGCACGAACAGACGAGAGCTAAGTCTGAACTTAATAAATCAGTAAAATCGATTTAAGAAATAATTACGTGAACAGGTACTTGCACAGGCTGGAGAACCTTTTATAAGGGCTCACACCCCTTCTTTATAAGGGAATTCAGATTTTCTCTCGGTGGCTCTGAGTAAAATTTCAGGGCTACAATACTATTTTCTTTCACGTCATGAAGAGCGCTACTGATGGAACATCCCATTTGAAAAAGTTAAAAATTAATTTGAAATAATATTTTCTTTTTTAATATTGTAAGGATCTATTATAATAATTATGAAAAAATATCATTTACATTATTACGAGTGCAAACAATACTCATTTTAACTTACTTCTAATGGGAAAATGCACTGAGAGTTTTCGTTTAGAAAAATGTTTGAACGTTCTGCGGAACCAATTTTTTTGAAGTTGATTGATTTTGTGTTTTTCTTAAATAAAAGCTACTGAACCCTAGATGTATTGTCATTTGCTCTCATTGACAAGTTTTATAGAATAAGTGATTTCTAAATTTAAGTATTTCTTAAAATGGACTTTTAGGGCGCGTAGGTGGTTGATTATGATCATTGTTTTCCAATGAACCTGCGATGGAACATTTTGTTAACGCTTGTAACATTTGCTCCTGATGCGTACGCAACTACTTATCCACTTGGGTTCGGCAGGAAAAATATTTTTTGATGGATTAGTGATTGCGGGCGCGACAACTGCTTAGGACGTTATTCCCGTAAGTGTATGGCCTGTTTTTATAAGACAATGGTAGTTATCTTCCCCCAGATAGCGAGTTCCGGCGCAGACCTACCATCAGCTAGCAGGGTTTTCCCCAAAAAGGTATCTCTGTCCAGGGGGCACCGCCACAGCCGGGATAAGCTGTAAGCTACCGGCCGGTCTCCCGGCACGTATGGTAGTGTAATGCGTGTTAGTGTAAGTGTATGTAAGGGGTGAAGATAGGACATGGAAGATGAAGAATTTTCCTCCTGAGACAAAAATCGACCTAACTATTTAGCAAGTGTCGAAAATCCTGCCACCGTCGGGACTAGGACCTCCTGGCCAGAGGCGCAGGAATAACAAACCTCTTTGGCTGTATCAGAACTTAACTCTGCCATATACACCTGCGCTTAATGAGTTGCCTACCTATTAGAGACGTGTCACAAAAGTAACTTCGTTAGGTATATGAAATATCCTATATGTTCATTGGCAAAAAGTGATCTTGCACAACCCATCCCCAAGCTCAGACGTTTATGACATTTATTCTGAAACATCTGTGAACAACATCTCGAAAAGTTATCCGTTTTTCATTCATTTCACATTTTACGCATTTCATAACTCTCTGAGGAAAGAGATATAAATTGCATTTGCTGTTGCTGTTGCAGTTCCATTCCTAGAGCTGATGCTCGGAGCTGGAATTACAGTGCACAAGTCCATTGTTTCCAAACTGGTGCCGAATTCAGAGATGGGTATGTATTACAGTATATCTGATAGGTCTGGATTACTAAGACATAGTAAACATTTTCTCAACTATTTGACAAACACTAATCTCTTTTATCAGGGCAAGTGACAGCTATTCTCAGTATGAACGAAGCAATTGTCCCATTGATCGTTAATCCCATGTACAATAAACTCTATCAATATACATTATCCACAATGCCCGGTGCCTTCTACTATTTAGGAGCAAGTCTTGCGTTTCCTGGAGCTGTTATATTCTGGTATTGTGACTTTTCAACTTTTAAATTACCGCTTTCAAATTACACTTCTTTTGTTTTTGTGTTGATTTTTAATTTTATTTTGAATGTGTTTTTTTCTTTCAAGCGTGGTGTACTTCCTTAATAGAAATGTCCTAGATTCTCGAAAGAAAGACGAAGAGGCGAAAAATACAAGTGAGAAAACTGACACCAAGCACCCAGCGATTTCTCCCTCAATAACATCTAAACAAATCGACTGTTGATGGAAACATACAAGAACATTTTCTAAATAAATCCAAGAGGGATATAATAATCACTATTCCACTCGTGAAATTAACACCAATAGGTAAACATCTGGTATGCACCAATCCAGACGGTGTGTCTCTAAACAATTATCGCATTTTCTTACCAGCTCCCTGCTGGCCACTAGGTGCGATACATCAATCGCAGGCAGCGCTGTCGTGTGCACTTGAAGAGCTAACTCAACATAATTAATATTTAGCGCATTCTGAAACATTTTTAGAAGTAATTTCATTCGTGGAATAGTCTCATTAAATACAATTCATGCATTAGACATGTCCAGATAAATTCCCTTAGCGCTAAGCGACTCGGGAATTTATCGGAAATTTTCAATGAACTTGTGGTATTACCTGTGATAAATCATCATATCTCATTTTTAATTTAATTCGTTAACAAGTTGAAACTGATGAGAACAAAATAGGAGAGTCTTCCTGAATATGTCACTTAAATGTACATGTAAGAATGTGTAAATGTACATGTAAGAATGTGTTAAGTAAAATACAGTCCATTGTCAAGCAGATTACAGAGGTATCGTGTAAACTTTTGTCCAAAGAAGTTGCACTTCATTTGCTCATTGCACAAAACCATTGATGATGCGGTAATAAATACGTATTGGCAAAAGTAAAAAATGCATTTACACCTGAACAGAAAGAATTAATAGGATCAGTAGATAATATCTGTCTATCATTATTGTTCACTTTTAAATGTGTTGTAAAGTAAATTTATTTGTGTTGTAAAGTAAAGTGATCAATAAAATTGACGATTCCTAACTGTTAACTATCGGTATAAATATACAAAAAATGTTAAGAGAGAAACTTTATAGTCTTCTTTTTGTAAATGTTAATTATGCTAATGGATTTGCAAATATTCTCGACGGCAGAAGTAACGAAAACAAAATTTTGTTGTCATCTCCAGTCTCTGTGATAATTGTATTTTAATGAACGAGGACTCAATAAAACAAGTTGCTGAGCTTTTTAATCTTTGTCAACATGTTGACAATATTCTTACTTTATTATTTTCCTAAGACTGTGTTCAGTATGAGGAACCTTGATGGACTTCAAGTTTCAAATTTACAAGTAAATTACTCTTGAGATTTACACTCAAGTAATTTACCCATGAGATATACAGTTCATAATGCAAGGCTGTCTGCTTTAGGCTTTCACTCTATGACTTGTCGCAATAAGGCATAGCAAAATTTGTTTTCTCATACCTGATGAGAGAGATTTATTAGCTGCGACATTTTCTTGAACGTTGGAATATCTTTTTTTTTTTCAATACACGGTTGAATTATAAATAAAAGATAGCAACGAGCGTTGGTAGTAACATTTGATAACAAGAAATGATCACTTCCGTATTTCTATGGGCAAATGAGCTATAGATTTGACTTGATAGTATTTCTGACGAAATAACTAACAACCAACTCTCGCAGAGCTCCAAAACCTTGCTTGTCTCTGGTTCACATTCATTCATCCCATCGACTTTTTCGTCTCTCTAAAGTTCTATTCAGGTAAGATGCTAAAATGGAAACAATATTTTAAGGATTATAAAAGTTATGTAATATTGCAATTCTGCAAAGAAATCGAGATCGTGATATTGACGGACGTTATTGAAGTCTCTCATATCGATTTTGTTTTCATCTTCAAAAACTTCTCTCCGCCTGTTTGTGAACAATTCTAGACTTGAAACTGAAAACAAGAGTTTTTCAAAAACCGTTACTCTCTAAATTGAAACTTTTAATGTTTGAGGTACATGACCCTAAAATATTTTCAAAATTTTCTGGATAGTGTTTCAATTTTTTCTTTCATTTATGTTTTGTTCGAATTGAAAACAAAGCATTACCAATTATTCTAAAAGAATCTTTAAAATTCTGAAAATTAGGAAAGTTTCCTTTATTTCAACCCGAAAAACATCTGCATTATTGAAACAATGTTTCTTTCTTTCTTAATGCAATCCCTTCCTTTACATTCACACTTTATTTCACAAACTGTTTTTCAAGAATATGTCCAATTTTTAAATGAAAATTTGCGAATAGAACCAGTTCCTCATCTTCTTGAATAACTCTTAAGTCAAATTTCAACTCCACCATTAGGGGACCGAAATATTCAGAAAATGTTCTTTATTTTATATATTTATAATACATTTATTTTAGGCGCAAAGAGACGGTGGCTGGGAAAAGGGTGGGGTAAAACCGAAAAGCAAGAGAATAGGAAACTATGTACTAACTAGTACTGTCATTCTGTAGCTCCACTAATTTTATTTGTTTGGTAAGGATTGGGGTCCCATTACATCAGCTTTGTTCAGACTCTGCAATGCGGTTTCAAGGGACTCACGCGAGGCTCTCCGTTGCGGTGGCGAGCGTGAAATCACCCTCCAACACGACTTCTTTATAAACATACAAGCAACAATCACATCTGCCTTATCTACCGTGCATAAAACATTTTGTGTCATTTCAGTGAAACATGTTCTTGACTGTTTGACTGTAATCAACATTCTAAATAGCTTAGTGAAATTTCTTGAAATATAGTGGGGTTGATCCATAATAATTCTTATTCATATTCCAGGTTAAGTTTTAAAACTTAAAAACTTACTAAAAAAGACAAATAAAATTTACGTGCAAACAGATTCATTACGTCTACAGTTACTGAAAAGCGTAATCATGCAAAATAAAATATTAAGATTCCTTCATTTTAGCTAATGATGCGATTTAACCTCGAATTTTCCTTGAAGCTAAAGATTACAAACGAGATCAAGTATATTAACCGATCCTAGCGAAATAGTTATGTGTCTAGGGCGTTAAGTAGATGATGTTGTCCCGAGGGCGATTTCAAAACCGAGAACCTCAGGCCCGAGAGGTTGGGGTTCCAAGTCGCCCTCGGGGCAAACGCATCAAGTAACGCCCGTTGCCCTCCAACAAATAAGACTTTATGGTTTACTAGTTCGCTGCTGAACCAAACAAGAATTCCAAAGATCTTTAAATTTGTCTTGCAACAAAAGTGAAAGATGAATTGTAATCGTCACATATAATGAATATGTCGCCAGGTAAACGAACTAGAGTGCATATTTAATTGACCAGTACATACTTACAATAGGAAAGGTTTGTTTATACCAATGGGAAAATGCTGTGAAGTTACAGGGGAAATTATCAAAACGCTGCGGACAGTTTCTTTCCAGTAAAATCTCGGGGAAAAAATCTGAAAATGCCTGCCGCAGAAAAAATGCTGCTGAACAAAACAACAAAATGGTTTTATGAAAAGTAGCTCATACACTGTTCAAGACCAACAAATAAAATACTATAACACGTTTTACATTATGCATTCATCTAACACTTTTTAACAAAAACAGTAGTTAGCTTTTAGTTGAGTTTAAGTCTTTTTTACAAAAACAAAAATTCAGCATTTAGCATCGTGTAGTACATTTCGAAACACAGTATAAAAGTTTTTTACACACCAAGAATATGCAGCAAGATGTTCTATAACACAACCCGAAAAAATAGCAGACGACCTAAATTTAAGCAGGTGGCCTCTCCTTTGGAACCTTGCTGTTGCATGAAGTCAGCTGTCTCCTAATTAGTTACACACTGAGTTAGAAAATTCTGTCGGTAGGCGCAGTACGAGAATAAACAAAAAAACACAATCAAATTTGAATATTTCGTAAAAGAATTGAAACTGTTTCATTGTTGTTTCTACCGAGATCCTGGGTACCTAACAAAACCTATGACATGTCTCACATGGCCGTAAGCTGCTTAGTGATCTAAATCTGCGCGCATAGGAAATTAGTAAAAAGATTAATATGGTGCATGTGAGAGTTAAATGGTTAATAATAGTGTATATTCCGTAAACGAAATGATACTTTTAAGTTTTTTGAGACGATTGCCGATAGCTGTTTAGAAAATTCCATTACAAAAAAAAAAAATAACATTTCGAGAATGTTAACTTGGCTTCTATATGCCTCTTTTACAGCTAATAACGTAACAAATCGCATCGACCGGCTGGATCTCCTGGGCATGGATGATTGTGCAGCGTCGCTGCTATCTGATGTTTCCTCCTGGGTTTCTGGTGGAACTGCTTGCTCCGTAGTTGCAGAGCTCCCGATGGCTTGTTCCTGTGGATATGATTCGTACGTCTTCCAATGAAGAAGCTTTGCAATGCCAAAAATCTAATTTCGTCCTCTGGTGTGTGAAGCATCATGTCTCTGATTAACGTTTCTGCGTACGAAGTGTCACAGTCTGACAGTGGGCACTTGCAATAGCAACTGACAATACCGCGCCAAACCTGATAGTTCTGTTATCCATTCACTATGGGTCTGTCCCTCACTTTTTCTGCACTGAAAAATTTTAGCCTGGCCTTTTTGTGTTTGTGTCCCCTACCTGGCGGCCTAGTAGGTGTTGCTCCAGCCTTTCAACATACTCCGCCCACTCATCTGTGTCTTGCTGGAAACGGGGGAACTGCGGCAGGGTGCGCCTGTTGACTGCTCCCAATAATACTGCCAGCTGCTGCGTATATGTCTCCCCCTGCAGCCGGCCATTTTCCTCTTGCTGACGTTGCTGTTGCTGCATAAGCACTATCATTTTTGCCATCTGCTCACAGGCTTCCATCTTGTTTTACCCTCGTCGCCAGTTTTGTTTTGATCAAAACAAGTTAATTTCGTAAAACAGTTTTTTATTCACAATTGCTGAACATACAGAGAACGACGTCAACATGCGTAGTCACAAAATAACCAGGAGATTTACCGGGGTCTTGCCAGATTTACCAAAAGCAGAAGAGATGCCCAACAACAATGCCGTTGTCATGATTCGAATACCAGAAAAGAAGTCCGTTGCACTAGCCGGCAGCGTAATCCCTCACTAGCTAGTACACTCGAAACTCGCACTATGATGGGTCGACTGGAAGTGGCTTCACTTCTCGTTGCGCGCTGTTTTATCCACGGTCAGGGCTAAAGACTCGCCGACTGGCGCGGCCGTACAGCCGATAGCGCGCTCGCCCACGCCGATCGAAACATGACGGCTCCGCTGAACCCGACCTCCCGTGAGCGGTGCCCGTATTTTCGTGGGACGCCGCCGCCTCGCTGCTGCTGCTCCCCGGTGCCGGTTCTTTCAAAGGGGCGCGGACGTCCACTACAAATAGTACAATTATTACTCAAGCATCCGTGTCTTTACTAGAAGAAATGTAATATGTAGCGGTAAAATAAGAATAAATACTACGAATTTTTAATTCACGGATACATGCCAAAATTGCATTTTTATGTAAATTCAATTTTTATTAATATTAAATATGTATACCTCCTTGTTATTCTTATTTCAGCACACGCCATTTATTTACTAAACATAAATTGAATTCGAAAACTAGTAGTGTTACACCAGCATGTACTTTCATTATTTATAATTTTGACCATCTTAATAAATAAATAACGGATGACCGCCCTGCGTACGAGAATTTGGTTAATGTGCAAGTATAGG